CCAAATGCAAGTCCCCAAGCAGTTCTCGAGTGATGTTGTTTCCATGACATATTTCTTAATTAATTGTATGTCATCTACAGTACTGATGGAGATGCTCTTATAGTCTCTTTTCCAAATAAGTTTTGTTCCGGTGCAACTAAGATATTTGGTAGCACTTTTATATTCGAGATGTGCGACTATTATGACAAAATTGGACTGAAGGTCTTGAAATATGTATTTTTGAAATATTCTAGGCTTCAAAAAAGATATTGGTGCTACTCTTAAGATCTCAATAAATATTTGATATCAACTGATGTAGTTTTTTTAGAGAATACACCGTTCTTCAATAAATCTACAAGTCAGGGGACGGATGATGAGTGATTCATACATAGTTTCATACCAGGTGCTTCTATTGAGCAAACTGATAATGGTACTTCTCCAAATGATTTATCTCCATCCCCTACTTGAACAAGTTGATGATAGTATTAGTGTGCCTCTAACTCAAGTACCACCACAAATTGTTCATGTTTATTTCAGAAAACAATAAACTAATTATACATGTTCTGCAACAGATTCGTTGTCATCTGATTCTGCATCACAGGATCTTGATCTTCTCATTGGTTTTCATAAAGATAAACATCAGTGTACCATTCCCACGTCAACTTATCCCATTGCTAATTTTATCTCATATGACTATCTATCTCATTCGTCTAGTGCTTTAATTGCTTTTATAGATTCAACTTCTATACTCAAAACAGTTAAGAAAGTTCTAAATCACCCTGTTTGATGTAATGTCATATTTAAGGAGATAAATGTTCTTGATAACAATCATACCAGGGATTTGATAAATTTACCTAAAGGAAAAAAGTCTGTAGGGTGCAAATGGGTATTTACAATTAAAGTGAATCCAGATGACTCTGTGGCAAAATTTAAAACTTGACTGGTAGTGAAAGGTTATGCTCAAACTTATGAGGTGGACTATTCTGATACATTCTCTCTAGTGGCCAAACTTACTTTTATCTGTTTATTCATATCTATTGCAGCCTCCTGATATTGGCCCTTATACTAACTGAATATTAAAAATGCATTTCTCACGATAATCTCTTAGAAAAAATATATATGGAGCAAACACTTGGGTTTATTACTCAGGAAGAGTACGGAAAAGTCTGTCATTTGAAGAAATCTTTATATGGTCTGAAATAGAGTCCCCGTGCGTGGTTTGGTAAGTTTAATGACGTAGTCTATGAGTTTAATTGAAAAAGAGCAAGTGTGATCATTTAGTCTTCTATAAATAATCAATAACTGGTATTATACTTTTTATTATTTATATTGATTATATTGTGATTACAGAAAATGACCATACAAGAATATCCTTTTTTAAGTCATTCTTGCATACCAAGTTTAATACTAAACACTTGAGATAGCTAAAATACTTATTGGAGGTGGAAGTAATAAGAAGTAAGGAAGAAATTCTGTTATCTCAGAGAAGGTATACACTTAATCTACTGGCAGAAACAGGAAAGTTGGGAGCTAAGTCATGCAATACACCAATGGTACCAAATGTACATCTTACAAAAGATGATGGTGATACCCTTAATGATCCAGAAAAATACAAGTGACTGGTTGAGATATTGAATTATCCAACTGTGACTCATCCAGATATTGTATACCCTGCCAGTGTTGTTAGTCAGTTTATGTCTGCACCTACAGTTAAACATTGGGAGGTTCTGGAACAGATTTTGTACTACTTAAAAGATGCTCTGGGACTTAACATAGTGTTTAAAATTCACGAGCATACTCACATTGAATGTTTTACAGATGCTGATTGGGTTGGATATAAAATTGATAGAATGTTTACTACGAGCTATTATGTTTTTGTTGGTAAAAATCTCGTATAATGAAAAAATAAGAAGCAAACAGTTGTATCTCACTCAAGTGAAGAGTCTGAATTTAGAGTTATGACCCAGTTTACATGCAAAATCTTATGGATACATTATCTTTTAAATGAAGTGGGTCTGAGATCCATATCTCCTGCGAAACTCTAGTGTGATAATCAAGCTGCCCTTCATATTGTCTCGAATCTTGTGTATCATGAGAGAACCAAACATATTGAGGTTGATTGTCATTTCATCCGAGAAAAGATTTAGAAAAATTTTATATTTACTGATTATGTAAAAACAAGAGAACAATTTGGTGATATATTCACAAAACCTCTAAATGGAACACGGATTGAGGATTTTCGAAACAAATTAGATATGATTAATATATATACTCCAGCTTGAGGGAGAGTGTTAAAATATTATAAATTATTTCATGTACATAATAGTATAATTATCTTTCCAAATATGTTAGCGTAATTAATAAGATGTTTTAAGTTGGTTACCACATCTGAATCCATCTACATGTACATATATTTTTATTCTCATTTCAATAAAAAACATGTAAATATTCAGTATTTTTCATTTTCTATCCCTTTACACGTATAAAAATCTAAAAGCATTATTTTAAAAAATAAAAAATAAAAAATCTCAAGATATATATATGATACCGAGAGTTATGAATGTTTACCTATAGGTTCAGGCAGAAGAAGATGCTTCTGAAGGCCATCAATGCCAGCAGAAACAATGGCAGCCAAGCCCAAGTATGGGTTTGCACATCCATCAAAAGATTTAATCTCAAAGTTGCTCACCAGACCTTGTATAATTCCAGGTGGGCATGCAGTTCTTATTGGGGCTTCTCTGTTTTCTTTTCCCCAACACTGATATGCCCCACTCCATGTATTTGGTTGTATTCGGTCATAACTTTACAGTAAAATGGGAATAAAAATAAGATTTCTTTCACATTTAGAATATTTTCTAGGAAATATAAATCCCACATGAAGACTGGCTAGTAGAATCAATCAGTTCACAAGTTCAAACTGATAGGATAAAGCTGAATTAATTATTTGTACTCTAACATGTCCCCTCATTGTAAATCTACTAAGTTCAAAGCATTAATTAAATATAAAAACACTAAACCTTATGCACAACTAATTTTTAACAAAAATGGGAAAACAAAAATCAAAATACTAGATCTCTGGCTGTAATACAATCTTACATAATTGATTAAATTGGTTACCTCAAAAGTTTAAACAGATAGTGCAGGACTCAATCAATTATTTATGCTCTAACACGATTTTCCTACCACTTCACAAAACATGACATTTATAAATTATATAAAATTATTTGCTTCATCTAAAAGCTGTTCTCATCAAAATACACCTAAAGCTTCAATAGCTATTTGAGTGCATGAACATGCACGTGCAAGTCAAACTAAAAATTATTCAGGAGATCCAAGAGAGATTAACATGTATAAATAACAAAAGCAACAAACTGACTAACCAGTTGCTATTTTAATCATACAGAATAATAAGATATTAAACAGAAAATGATAAGATTTCCAAGAAACCTTTTCTAAAGATTAACACAGAGTAGCAATTTAGCCATCTGGTCAATCACGCAAAGACCACTAACATATAACCTACAGCACTATCTTAAGTAACAAAAAGGTGGAATAGCTATAAAGAGGATAAAGTGTAACCATAACTCCTGTAGATGAAACACACAAAACTAACTGTTTCAAAGGAAAAAAAAATATCCATATTAAGCTATGTTTTCCATATGCATGTTAAAAAGAAATGGTTCGTTTGTTTGAGCTGAATCAAGACAGTTATAAAGCACCCGGGAAAAAGATGTTTCATGATGATTAACCAAAAAATTAATTTGATGGTACAGAGCAGTAGTCTTAAAAACAAGATTTGTTTATATACACACAGAAGCATGCATAGAAAAAAGGAAACCTGTTCGGAACTGGTGCTATGAATGCCAAAATTGAAGGAAGATGGTGCAAAACGCCAGCCATAAATTCTTGACCAACATTGGACATTCCATATTGAGATGATCCATCTGATGCCATAAAAATATTTTTCCCGTTCTGCCACAAACTGATATGCACATGGGATCCTGAACCAATATCATCTAAAGAATACCTAGAAAAGCAGCACAGATTAATATCTTTTAAGTCTAAATGTTAGTTCCAAATAACAAAAAATGAAGAAACCCTATAAGACCAACTCTGGAACACTATCATAGCTTAACAAGTGAGCTCATCTTTGGTTCTTGTAAAAAGTTTGAACCATATTAGTCACTCTATTTTATTTTAAGTTACCATGTGATAATCCATTCATCATCAAAACGATTAGTCTTTTGGACAGTACAACCTAGTTAAATGATAGGACCAGGCAGTATATAAGAAGATTCTCTACATGACGTAGGAGTACAGTGTCAGAATATTAGTGTTTGAATGAAACATGTAACCCATAATTGTTTTCATGATGTATGCACATGATATTTAGAATAGTAACTCTTCTTATTGAAATAAGAACACCTTGTCTTTTTGTTGGAAAACTACTACCAAATCATCAAGGGTTACAACCACGAAATTTAACAAAGAGACAATTATCAGCCTTACTCTCAGAAGCAGAGAACCTACTTTGGCACAAAAGTCGCCAACAATCCATGTTTCCTTGCAATAGACCTAATAACTTCACGAGTGAAAATCAAGTTGTCCGCAGCACAAGTTGATGCAGTGTGTCCAAGAGCAAATTCAAACTGACCTTTTCCACTTTCCGCGTGCAACTGCAGCAAATTTGAAAATAAAAAAATGAAGAAGGTATTTTCAGGACTCATACAAACACTTGAAACAATAACCAACATTACAGCAAGAGCATTACCAAGATGCATTTCTTCCACTTTTTTCTGAATGAAAGAGAAACATTAGATAGAGAGAAGAGAGAGAGAGAGACAGCATATTCTCCTATAATAGCAAAATATAAAACACCTAAATATAGAACTAAAAGATGCAGTCTAAATGATAATGTGGACACTGTTTTTTGTTATTATAATTTTTTTTAGGAAAGAACATGTGTTACTGTTACCTATGGTACAAAAGCCAACCAGTAAAATTCCAAGTACATACAAATAGCAGCAAATATCTCTCTTTTTGTTTAATTCTTTAGCCATTTTGTTTTCCTTTTTCTGGGGCCAATATAAGCTTTACTGTTGGCGTCTGACAAAGAAGAGAAGAAGATTTTGGAGCTGAAAAATAATCGGAGTTCTTCATCGATCATGCTTTAAAAAATTACAAAAGCTTCTTTGATTTTGCTGTCCATGACAGGAGAATTTTGCAGATGCCTCTACCAGTTACACCTATATTTTGAGATCCTTACTGTATTTTCTTAATTTGTTCCAGTCAAAATTTCTCACATTGAGATGTGATTAAAACCAGAATAAAATAAAAGTAAGAAGCATGCATAATATTATCAACATTCATGTACAATCATAAAGCTGCATGCAGATTGAACGAAACCAAGCATCTATGCACTCAATATAAATTTCATCAGTAATCTCAAACAGAAATAAATAATAACTCCAGCATTATTCTCCACCTG